GAATCTTTAGATCTTTAGAATCTTTGGAATCGTTGGATTCTTTGGAATCTTTGGAAAGTCTGGAATCTCTGGAATCTTTGGAATATTGGGATTCTTCTGAATCATTGGATTCTTTACAATCTTCAGAATTTCTGGAATCTTTGCGATCTTTAGAATCTTTAAAATTTTTTGAATCTCAGAATACCAAAACATCCGAAATCTTTGGAATTTCTTCTTCTTCAGTCTTTGAAAATATTCAGAATCTTCAGAACTTTGGAATCTCCAGAATCTCTACTCTTTCTAATCTTTAGAACTTTAGAATTTTCAAAATCTTTAGAACTGTAGAATTTTTAAAATCTTTAGGATCTTGAAGATTTTTGGCATGTTTGCAATCTTTGGAATTTTTGTGAACTTTGGGATTTTTTGGAATGTTTGAGATCTTTTGAATCTTCAGATCTTTAGAATCTTTAGATCTTTAGAATCTTTAGAACCGTTGGATTCTTTGGAATCTTTGGAAAGTCTGGAATCTCTGGAATCTTTGGACTATTTGGATTCTTCGGAATCATTGGATTCTTTAGAATCTTCAGAATCTCTGGAATCTTTGCAAATCTCAGAATTCCAAAACATCCGAAATCTTTGGAATTTCTTCTTCTTCAGTCTTTGTAAATATTCAGAATCTTCAGAAACTTTAGAATCTCCAGAATTTCTAGACTCTTTAGAATCTTTAGAACTTCAGAATTTTTAAAATCTTTAGGATCTTTAAGATCTCGGGCTTCTTTGGAATCTTTGGGTTCTTTGTGAACTTTGGAATTTTTGGAAATTTTGAGATCTTCAGATCTTTAGAATCTTTAAAATCTTTAGAATCGTTGGAACCTTTGGAATATTTGGAATCTCTGGAATCTCTGGAATCTTTGAAATCAAGTCTCTGGAATCTTCAGAATCTCTAGAATCTTTGGAATCTATAGAAAAATTTTTTTGAATCTCAGAATACCAAAACATCCGGAATCTTTTGAATTTCTTGTTCTTCAGTCTTTGTTAATATTCAGAGTCTTCAGAAACTTTAGAATTTCCAGAATCTCTAGATTATTTAGAATCTTTAGGATCTTGAAGATCTTTGGCATCTTTGCAATCTTTGGGATCTTTGTGAACTTTGGAATTTTTAAAATTTTTTGAGTATCAGAATACCAAACAATCCGGAATTTTTGGAAATTCTTCTTCTTCTGTAGCCTTTGTAAATATTCAGAATCTTCAGAAACTTTAGAATCTTCCGAATCTCTAGACCCTTTAGAATATTTAGAACTTTAGAATTTTTGAAATCTTTGGGATCTTGAAGATCTTTGGGATCTTGAAGATCTTTGGCATCTTTGCAATCTTTGGGAGCTTTGTGAACTTTGGGATTTTTGGAACGTTTGGGATCTTTAGAATCTTTAGATCTTTAGAATCGTTGGAATCTTTGGAATCTCTGGAATCTTTGGAATATTTGGATTCTGCGGACTTATTGAACTCTTTGAAATCTTTAGAATCTTCAGAATCTTTAGCATCTTTAGAATCTTTAAAATTTTTTGAATCTCAGAATACCAAAACATCCGGAATCTTTGGAATTTCTTCTTCTTCAGTCTTTGTAAATATTCAGAATCTTCAAAATCTTCAAAATTATTAAAATCTTAAAGATCTTTAAGATCTTTGGCATCTTTGGAATCTTTGGGATCTTTGTGAATTTTGGGATCTTGGGAATCTTTAGAATCTTTAAAATTTTTTGAATCTCAGAATACCAAATCATCCGGAATCTTTGGAATTTTTTCTTCTACAGTCTTTGTAAATATTCAGAATCTTCAGAAACTTCAGAATCTTCAGAATCTCTAGACCCTTTAGAATCTTTAGAATTTCAGAATTTTTTTAATCTTTAGGATTTTTAAGATATTTAGCATCTTTGGAATTTTTGGGATCTTTGTGAACTTTGAAATCTTTGGAATGTTTGACATCTTTAGAATCTTTAGGATCTTTAGAACCGTTGGAATCTTTGGAATCTCTGGAATCTCTGGAATTTTTAGAATATTTGGATTCTTCTGAAACATTGGAGTCTTTGGAATTTTTAGAATCTTCAGAATCTTCAGAATTTTCAGAATCTTCGGAATTTTTAAAATCTTTAGTATCTTGAAGATCTTTGGCATCTTTGCAATCTTTGGGATCTTTGTGAACTTTGGGATTTTTGGAATGTTTGGGACCTTTAGAATCTTTAGATCTTTAGAATCGTTGAAATCTTTGGGATCTCTGGAATCTCTGGATTCTTTGGAATATTTGGATTCTTCGAAATCATTGGACGCTTTGGAATCTTTAGAATCTTTAAAAATATTTGAATCTCAGAATACCAAAACATCCGGAATCTTTGGAATTTCTTCTTCTTCAGTCCTTGTAAACATTCAGAATCTTCAGAAACTTCAGAATCTTCAGAATCTCTAGACCCTTTAGAATCTTTAGAACTTTAGAATTTTTTAAATCTTTAGGATTTTTAAGATCTTTGGCATTTTTGGAATCTTTGGGATCTTTGTGAACTTGAAATCTTTGGAATGTTTGACATCTTTAGAATCGTTGGAATCTTTGGAATCTCTGGAATCTTTGGAATATTTGGATTCTTCGGAATCATTGAATTCTTTGGATTCTTTGGAATCTTTAGAATCTTCAGAACCTTCAGAATTTCCAGAATCTTTGGAATCTTTACAATCTTTAGAAATTTTTAATCTGAGAATACCAAAACAAACAGAATCTTTGGAATTTCTGAAATTGCAAGAACTTCTGGAATTTTTAATAATCTTAAGAATCTTCCGAATCTTCAGCCTTTGAAATACTCAGACATTCCAGAATATTTTCTATTTTCAATGTTTCGGTTTCATAATTTTAGTTTTTTCAGCTTTAGTTTTTTCAATTTTTCGATATTGCAATTTTTCATTTTTCGATTTTTTAGTTTTTTGATTATTCAGTTGTTCGTGTGGAAAATTGAAAAGTTACAAATGGAAAAACTGAAGAAATGAAAAATTAAACTTAAGAAAAACGGATCGAATCGAAAAATTGGAAAACTAAAAAATTATAAAGTCTAAAAACTGTAGAATCGTCAAAATTGTAAATTTGAAAAACTTTAACATTGACAGATCAAAAAAACTGGAAAATCAAATTTCGAGGAACTGAAAAATTAAGTATCTAGAAATTGAAAAATTAAAATCGAAAAATTGAAAATTCGAATAAATGAAAAAGTTTTAGAATCCAATAATTGAAAATCGGAAAAATTCTAAAATCGTAGAATTGAAAAAGTGAAAAATTTTAAAAATATATTATTATTTTTACATACTTAAAATAAAAACTAGAAAAATTACAAATCAAAAATTGAAGAAACGAAGAATTGAAGAATTATGAAACTGAAAAAACGGAAAATTATGGAATCTAAAAGAAATTCAAATAAAAAAATTGAACAATGAAAAAATAAATATTCGAGACCCCTACCTTGGGGTACTCAATTAATCGAAAAATTTCAAATTTTGAAATCTCACGTCGCCTTTTGTTTCTTCTTTGAAGCAGTTTAAAAGAATCTCGGGGACTCTTTTCGTTTTGTTTTTGAAATAATTTGAAAGAATCTCGGGGATTTCTCGTCTTCTTTTTGAAGTAGTTTAAAAGAATCTTGGGGACCCCTTTTGTTTCGTTTCTGAAATAGTTTGAAAGAATCTTGGGAATCTCTTCTATTGTTTTTGAAGCAGTTTAAAAGAATCTCGGGGACCCCTTTTGTTTTGTTTTTGAAGTAACTTGAAAGAGTCTCGGGGGCCGCTTGTGCCTGGTTTTTGGGGTCTCAGGGAGAATTTGGTTTTTGAAGTACATAGTTTGAAAGAATGCTTAGATCCTTTGCATTATTTTTGAAGGAATTTGAAAACATCTGTGGAACCCCTTGTATTTCAGCACCCATAATACAAAGAACCAACTGTCAACTGAAAACAATTTTTCAAAAATAAAAAAATGTAGGCCTGTGTTATTAATATGCAGCAATCGAAGCACACTTTTTTTAAATGTATTTTTCAGAATTCTTTTTCAGTGTCTTGGACTTATTTAATTTAAAAAAAGGGAAACCCATTTTCTCCCAGTCGAGGAATTCTCTACAACTTTTTCCCATCTCAACCATTTTTTTGTGTTGGTAGCCAGGAATCCAAAAAAACAAGTCATTTCAAAGTTAGGAAATACGCATATCATTCCCTTGCAGTTGCCTTGGATATATCTATCGCTTCAGTAAAACTTGTTGATAAGTTAAATTTGCTGAAGGCTGACGTAAACACGTGCCTGGTTTTTGAAAAAGACTAAAAGAAGTATTTGAAGTAATTTGAACGAATCTCTGTAACCCCCGATGTTTAATTTTTGAAGTTGTTTGAAGGATCTCGGAGATCACTCGTAATTTATTTTTGAAATAGCTTTTTGTTTATGGTTTTGACATTGTCATCGACCTTCTATCAGGTATGCAAAAATGACTGCTAAATCTACATATCTATATACACGTGCAATATACTATCACTGAGACTAATCTATATTTGTTCATTGCACTATTGTAAAACAAGCTATATAAATGCCTTTGTTCTAGAAACTTTATAACGAGCTTAGCAGCAATCAAAAATGTAAAAAAATCGTGTTAATTCTCGAGGAAAGCTGATGTGCTCATCCCACCCAAAAACATATGACGTCACATCAACATTTTGCGAAGCAATCCGCGATAAAGTTTAACAAAGAAAAATAAAATTAAAATTACAGTGTTTAGGAGAAAGTACGGCATGAACTCTCCTTACATCTTCATTTTAACGTTTTTCTGCTGAACAGTGGTAGAGCAAAAAATTGTTTTATGATCGACTAGACGGTTCGCAGTAGTTTGAGGCAAAATACTCATAGGATTAAATTTTATTCAAGTGATAAGATACGTTCCAAGATTTACACTTTAAACACTATGTAAATAATGCATTAATTTTTATTGTACATAGTCTATGCATGTGGACGGTTTTCAGTTAAAGTACAACCATCATCTAATCAACTTGTCGACTTTAGTCGGATTTCTACACTATCACCATGTATTATGTCATGCAGTTTGCCGTGAAGTTGTTGGTGTTGGTTTCGCTGCAGAGTGCAGTCGCTATAAATTGGAAAAATAATGCCTGCCACAATATTTTTTCGTACTATTTTTCGGCTATTAGTCGTAATTGTTACGAAAATGACGACGTACGGCCAAACGATCTCGTATGTATTTTCGGAGTGGTACTGGTACTTAATCTAGTGATCATATTTTAGCCAAGTATTTCGAAAAGACATGGATACGATACTGAAACATTTACTTTAACAACAGGCGATGGATATGAGTTACATTTGTACCGAATGTCGTCAACAAAATCACAAACCACAAAAATTCCACTTTTTGTTTTACATGGAATAGCTGTCGATGTAGAATCTTGGGTCGACATCGGCAACAGATCTCTCGGTACTATTGATTATTTTTTCACAAATAGTAATAAACTAACGATTGAATAGCTTTCAATTTAGTTGACGGAGGTTATGATGTGTGGGTTGGAACCTTGAGGGGAACTATAGATTCCAGTAAACACAAGACTTTAACAGTTAACGATCCCGAATACTGGAATTTTAAGTACGATTTCTTTGATCATGTTTTCCTTGTAACAGAAAAATTCTAGCTTGGACACTATTACCAACGAGGATTTGAGGATCCAGCTGGAATTTGTTTCCAACGCGACTCAACAGAAAGTTGTTATTGTGGCACATTCGATGGGTTGTACTTTAAGTTTCATGTTTGGTTCGGAATATCCTGATCGAGCTAACCAGTTGATAAAGGGGTTGGTTGCACTGGCACCAGTGGTTTATCTAGACGATGTGCCATTTACAACGTCTGCGTTACTTTGGGCTATGCCATTAATCGTAAGTCACGACTAAATTTGAAAATAAAAATCACGTTCGACTTTTCAGCAAATTTTCAAAGCTCTCAATATCAAAGGTCTTCTATATCACGAAAAATTGGTCCATAGCTTTGAAACGCACGTTTGTAAGTTGTTACCAAATCTGTGCTACTTTCTTGTAAGTACAGCGTCTGGAAAAACCAAGCAGTTTGCTCCTGTAAGTACTAAGATGGTTACAAATTTTCACTGACAGTACTATCCTGTAGGAAGATTTGCTCCTTTTTACTAGTTACTGGCCAAGTGGAGTGTCCGTCTATCAGTTAGAACATTTTCTGCAAATCTCGAAAGACCACAAATTCCAAAAATACGATTACGGCACGCATAAAAATAAGGAAATTTATGGTACTGAAAACCCGCCAGTCTACACTTTAACCAACGTCCAATTTCCCGTATCCTTGTTCTATGGAACGCACGATGTCTTGTTTTTGCAAAAGGTGTGTGGTAATTATTTTCAACATTATCAAAAACACAAATTACAATGTTAATCATACGCTAAGTCTATATTTAGTCCTCAGCGTTGTAAAAACGCTATTAGAGATTACAAAATGTTTTAAATATTTTTTTTTAGAATGTTGACCGATTATTTAACGAACTTGGCAGTAGTCAAAAGTACAAAATTTCTGTTCCGAGAAATGCGGGGCCAGAATACGGTTACTCGCACATCGACTTCCTTTGGTCAAAAAATCTACATAAATTTCTGTATGACGACGTTTTTGAAAAATTGGATTTGATTATTAATGGTAACTAAAGTGGTCGTTAGTGGTTCATTAAAAGTTAGATTTTTAAATCAGTTTGCTCTTTATTACTTAAATTACCCAAGCGTAGCTACTATTTTCATGTTTTGGCGACGTTTCATAGCCACTAGAGTACGAAAAATGTGGTCTCCCGTTTTTTTTTTGAAGATTCTAAGGGTCCCGAGGATTCTGAAGATTCTGAATACTTCGAAGGTTGAAGGTTACAAAAAATTTGAAAACTGAAGATTGTGGCCATTCTAAAGATTATAAAGATTTTAGTCCCAGAGACATTATAGTGATCACAAAAAATCTTTAGACATATTTTAAGTATTAACAAAATTTTTCTTAATAAATTCCAAAGATTCTGAAAATTCTGAAAAGATCAAAGTTTCTAACAATTTTGAAGTTTCTGAAGAATTTAAAAATTATAAAAGTTTGCAATCTTTGCAATCTTTAGAATCTTTAAAAATTTTTGAATCTCAGAAAACCAAAACATCCGAAATCTTTGGAATTTCTTCTTCTTTTTCAGTCTTTGTAATTATTCAGAATCTTTAGAACTTCAGAATTTTTAAAATATTTAGGATCTTGAAGATGTTTGTTATCTTTGCAATCTTTGGGATCTTTGTGAACTTTGGGATTTTTGGAATGTTTGGGATCTTTAGAATTGTTGATCTATGAAATCTTTGGAATCTCTGGAATCTCTAGAATCTTTGGAATATTTGGATTCTCCAGAATCATTGGACTCTTTGAAATCTTTAGAATCTTGAAAAAATTTTTAATCCCAGAATATCAAAACATCCGGAATCTTTGGAATTTCTTCTTCTTCAGTCTTTGAAAATATTCAGAATCTTCAGAACTTTAGAATTTTCAAAATCTTTAGAACTTTAGAATTTTTAAAATCTTTAGGATCTTGAAGATCTTTGGCATCTTTCCAATCTTTGAAATCTTTGTGAACTTTGGGATTTTTGTAATGTTTGGGATCTTTAGAATCTTCAGATCTTTAGAATCTTTAGATCTTTAGAATATTTAGAATCGTTGGATTCTTTGGAATCTTTGGAAAGTCTGGAATCTTTGGAATATTTGGATTCTTCGGAATCATTTTATTCTTTACAATCTTCAGAATCTCTGGAATCTTTGCAATCTTTAGAATCTTTAAAATTTTTTGAATCTCACAATACCAAAACATCCGAAATCTTTGGAATTCCTTCTTCTTTTTCAGTCTTTGTAAATATTCAGAATCTTCAGAAACTTTAGAATCTCCAGAATCTCTAGACTCTTTAGAATCTTTAGAACTTCAGAATTTTTAAAATATTTAGGACCTTGAAGATGTTTGGCATCTTTGCAATCTTTGGGATCTTTGTGAACTTTGGGATTTTTGGAATGTTTGGGATCTTTAGAATTGTTGATCTATGAAATCTTTGGAATCTCTGTAATCTCTAGAATCTTTGGAATATTCGGATTCTTCGGAATCATTGGACTCTTTGCAATCTTTAGAATCTTTAAAAAAATTTTAATCCCAGAATATCAAAACATCCGGAATCTTTGGAATTTCTTCTTCTTCAGTCTTTGAAAATATTCACAATCTTCAGAACTTTAGAATTTTCAAAATCTTTAGAACTTTAGAATTTTTAAAATCTTTAGGATCTTGAAGATCTTTGGCATCTTTGCAATCTTTGGGATTTTTGGAATGTTTGCGATCTTTAGAATCTTCAGATCTTTAGATCTCCAGATCTTTAGAATTGTTGATCTTTGGAATTTTTGGAATCTCTGGAATCTTTGGAATATTTGGATTCTTCAGAATCATTGGACTCTTTGAAATCTTTAGAATCTTGAAAAAATTTTTAATCCCAGAATATCAAAACATCCGGAATCTTTGGAATTTCTTCTTCTTCAGTCTTTGAAAATATTCAGAATCTTCAGAACTTTAGAATTTTCAAAATCTTTAGAACTTTAGAATTTTTAAAATCTTTAGGATCTTGAAGATCTTTGGCATCTTTCCAATCTTTGAAATCTTTGTGAACTTTGGGATTTTTGGAATGTTTGGGATCTTTAGAATCTTCAGATCTTTAGAATCTTTAGATCTTTAGAATATTTAGAATCGTTGGATTCTTTAGAATCTTTGGAAAGTCTGGAATCTCTGGAATCTCTGGAATCTTTGGAATATTTGGATTCTTCGGAATCATTGGATTCTTTAGAATCTTCAGAATCTCTGGAATCTTTGCAATCTTTAGAATCTTTAAAATTTTTTGAATCTCAGAATACCAAAACATCCGAAATCTTTGGAATTTCTTCTTCTTTTTCAGTCTTTGTTAATATTCAGAATCTTCAAAAACTTTAGAATCTCCAGAATCTCTACTCTTTAGAATCTTTACAACTTCAGAATTTTTAAAATATTTAGGATCTTGAAGATGTTTGGCATCTTTGCAATCTTTGGGATCTTTGTGAACTTTGGGATTTTTGGTATGTTTGGCATCTTTAGAATCTTTAGGATTGCAGAATTTTTAGGATCTTTAGAATCTTTAGAATCGTTGGAATCTTTGGAATATTGGGATTCTTCGGAATCATTGGATTCTTTGGAATCTTTAGAATCTTTAGAATTTTTTAAATCTCAGAATAGTAGAACATCCGGAATCTTTGGAATTCCTGAAATTTCAGGATCTTCTGGAATTTTTATAATCTTAAGAATCTTCCGAATCTTCAAACTTTGAAATACTCAGAAATTCCAGAATCTTTTCAATTTTCAATGTTGCGGTTTCATAATTTTAGTTTTTTCAGCTTTAATTTTTTTAATTTTTCGATATTACAGTGTTTCATTTTTCCATATTTCTGTTTCTTGTTTTTGAGTTTTTCCATTTTTCAGTTTTTCGTTTCCTCAATTTTTCAAGTTCTTGGTTTTTATTTTTCATTTTCCCGTTTTTTAATTTTCATTTTCAGAATCTGTGGAACCTGGAATCTTCGAAATCTCTACATTCTTCAGAATCTCTAGACTGTTTGGAATCTTTACAACTTTAGAAATTTAAAATTTTTTGGATCTTTAGGATCTTGGGCATCTTTGGGATCTTTGGAAACTTTGGGATCTTTGGGATATTTGGAATCTTTCGAATCTTCAAAATCTTCAAAAATTTTGAAATCTTTGGAATTTTCAAAAATTTCAGGATCTTCAGTAAATTTAGAATCTCCAAAGACTCTTTCGAATCTTTAGAAAATTTTTAACATCTTTAGGATTTTAAAGACTTTTGGCATCTTCGGAATCTTTGGAATCTTTGTGAACTTTGAAATTTTTTGAGTGTTTGGGATCTTTAGAATTTTTAGAATCGTTGGAATTTTTTTAATCTTTGGAATCTTTGAAATCTCTAGAAACTGGAATATTTGGATTCTTCGAAATCATTGGACTCTTTGGTATCTTTAGAATCTTCAGAATCTCTAGAATCTTTGGAATCTTTAGAATCTTTACAATTTTTTTAATCTCAGAACACCAGAACATCCGGAATCGTTGAAATTTCTGAAATTTCAGGAAGTTCTGGAATTTTTCGAATTTTCGCCTTTGTAATATTCAGAAACTCAAAATATTTTCCATTTTCAATATTTCGGTTTAATTTTTTAAATTTTTCGATATTACAATTGCTCATTTTTCAATTTTTCTGTTTCTATTTTTTAATTTTTCGATATTTCACTTTTTTGTTTCCTCAATTTTTCAAGTTAAATTAAAAATCGAAAAACTCGAAAAACGTGAATAAGTGGAAAATCGAAAAATTACAAATGGAAAAACTGAAGAAATAAAAAATTAAACTGATGAAAAACGGATCGAATCGAAAATTTGGAAAACTGAAAAATTATAAAATCTAAAAATTGTAGAATCGTCAAAATTGTAAATTTGGTAAAACTGACAGATAAAAAAAAATGGAAAATCAAATTTCGAGGAATTGAAAAATTAAGTATCTAAAAATTGTAAAATTAAAAACCGAAAAATTCAAAATTCGAAAAAATGAAAAAGTTTTAAAATCCAATAATTGAAAATCGGAAAAACTCTAAAATCGTAGAATTGAAAAGGTGAAAAATTTTTAAAGTTATTATTATTTTTACATATTTAAAATGAAAACTAGAAAAATTACAAATCAAAAATTGAAGAAACGAAAAATTTAAAAATCATGAAACCGAAAAATGGGAAATTAAGGAATCTAACAGAAATTCAAATCAAAAAATTGAATAATCTAAAAATTTAAAAATTTTAAAATACAAAAATTTTCAAAAAGAAGTGTTGTTAAAGCAGCACACTGAAAAACCGAAAAACTGAAAAAATAAATATCAGAATGTCGGAGACCCCTTCTGTTTTGTTTGTGAAATAGTTTGGAAGAATCTAGGAGACTTCCTGAACCTGATTTTTGAAGTAGTTTAAAGGAATCTCGGGAACGCCTTTTGTTTTGTCTTTGAAATAGTTTAAAAGAATCTCGGGGACCCCTTGTCTTGTTTTTCAAGTAGTTTAAAAGAATCTGGAGGACCCCTTTTGTTTTGTTCTTGAAGCAGTTTGAAAGAATCTTGGGGATTTCTTGTCTTGTTTTTGAAGTAGTTTAAAAGAATCTCGAGGACCCCTTTTTTCCGTCTTTGAAGCAGTTTGAAAGAATCTCGGGGAGGCCCTTTGTTTCTTTCTTGAAGCAGTGTACAAGAACATCGGGGAGTTTTCTTGTATCTGGTTTTTGAAGTAATTTGAAAGAGTCTCGGGGACCGCTTGTGCCTGGTTTTTGGGGTCTCAGAGAGAATTTGGTTTTTGAAGTACATAGTTTGAAAGAATGCTAAGATCCTTTGCATTATTTTTGAAGTAATTTGAAAAAATCTGTGGGACCCCTTGTATTTCAGCACCCATAATACAAAGAACCAACTGTCAACTGAAAACAATTTTTCAAAATTTAAAAAATGTAGGCCTGTATTATTAGTATGCAGCAGTGGAAACCCATTTTCTCACAGTCGAGGAATTCTGTACAACTTTTTCCCATCCCAACCATTTTTTTGTGTTGGCATCCAGGAATTCAAAAAAACTGCTAAGTCATTTCAAAGTTAGGAAATACGCATATCATTCCCATGCAGTTGCTTTGGATATATATATCGCTTCAGTAAAACTTGTTGATAAGTTAAATTTGCTGAAGGCTAACGTAAACACGTGCCTGGTTTTTGAAAAAAACTAAAAGAAGTATTTGAAGTAATTTGAACGAATCTCTGTAACCCCCTGT